TTGAAGCACATGTATTACAGCAGATGTGGGGTGCCCACGGTTGGTCTTGATCACCTAGTTTACAACCGAAATAAAGCTGATATGCCTTTGTTATTAGTGGAGTAATAGACCGTCTCTGAGACGCAAAAGTCACATCACCACACACGTAACAAAACTGATCTGGATTGTTTACACATTTTCGAGACATCTTGCATGAACGCTGTCAGCCAACTGAGGCAAAAATGGCTAATATAAAACAGTATAATGTACACGTATGTATAACGTAACACAATCATGCCGATTACATCATCTTTCCTTGCCGAATATAAAAATGTAGCACGTGCATTCTTGTGAATTACAGTATATTAACACTGTCACAGCAGGAACACATAATTACCGTATCTCTAAAACTGATATTGAAAAAATAAGTTTCATTCCGGTTTTAGCACATTAAAAATAGTAATATTTTAATAGGATATTTTTTGGCTCTTGATCAGTGTTATCAGTTCTAAATGCTTGTAATATAAAAATCGCATTGTTCAAGGCGAATCCCTAATGGTGGCTTACTGAACGGATTGGGGAGTGATTTTTGATCGCCTCCTCGTGGCGTTCACTGTAAACACCATATGGTGGTTAGACAACCGATAAATAACTGTTATTTTTTTATATGCAATTTTCGTTGGTGCCTTCTTGTTTTTTATGTCTCACGAGCTGCTATTGAATTTTTCAGTGTCTAGTCACATACTGCTTATAATTTCACCTAATTTTCAGTGGATGTTCTATTAGCTACTTATAAAACAAGCCATTTACATAAGAATTTTATTTTTCAAATAACCTCATTTTTTATTTACGTATTTTTCCCAAGAAAACGTACAATTTGGCAACAATGGAAAGCACTTGTTTTATCTGTCAAGAAATGAAAGTTATAAAATGACATTTGAGGATTGTTTCCACTTCCAAACCTTTATTATAAACGCAAAAACTGTTCTTGAAGAAAAAAAGGTTAAGAGGTTTCAAGAAATCATTGGAAAACTTTAACACGGCACCTCTAAACAGCTTACTTAGTAGAAACCATCATTTAAGGTATGTAATTTTAGCTTATTATTGTTTAACCCTTTTCTTTGAAAACCAACGATTGTTACAGTTTCACACATATTTTCCCTAAAAAATAATCATTTCTACTAATATCTTCAATTTTTCTTAAAATTTCGGTGTTTATGCAGCATTTTACTCTTTATGCAATGCGTACAAGGTGTGTTCATTAACGGGAATTTTTAAATTTCGCGGGTTTGGAGAGTCCGATCGTCAATTTTTTTATTATGTTGGTATACATTGCCCCTGAAGCATAAAATATTCAGCTGTTTACTTTGTCTGTGGCAGCCGCTAATGTTAGACGTGTTTTTACGAGTTCGGCGATTTTCTTTTGTTAAAATTAATGGATTAAAGAATTTGTATGAAATTTTGCATAAAAATTGAAATAAAACGTAAATAAAGTGTGTGAAGTGGTAACAAAGGTCTATGGTGAGTCTGCTATGAGTAAAACAAGAGTTTACGAGTGGTATAAGCGTTTCCAAGATGGCCGCGAAGACGTTGAACCAAAGAAAACGTGTGAAAAGTGAAAACAAATTGTTATGTGCTATCACCAAATCACAATCAGAGAAGTCGCTGATGCAAAGAAATTTTTTTTAATAATTTGGGTATGAAATACGTGGTAGCAAACTTTGTTACAAAATTGTTGAGTTTTGAACACCATAAATTCTTGCCACGAGGTCAAACGGTCAATAAGGAGTACTACGTACAAGTTCAACGCCTTATGTTCTTCATTGCTTGTTCCTTAATTTTTGACCAAAAATAATGCTGTAATGATGCCCCAGCCTCCGTATTTTCCAGACATGGCTCCGTGTGACTTTTCCTATTTCCAAAAGTAAAGAGAACCTTAGAGGGCCGTCGTTTTACAGCCATAGATTACAGTATAAGAGCATCGCTGAAAGTGCTAAACGCTATCGCAAACATCGAGATATAATATAATAAGTGACATATAAATCCGAACACCCAGTTTAAATGGTTTTATTTTAATAAAATTTTGTATAAGTACTTAATGAAGCATAACAAGTTAATGATAAAAATTTCAAAATGATTGCACTGCTTTAAAGCCCTTTGACTTTTAATAATGTGTGGATGCACCCTGATGTGCTACGCATTCTCCAACGCGCCTAGGCATGTTTCTGATCAGGTGGCCAATGTCCTCCTGTGGTATCTCATTCCAGGCAACCACCAACTCCTCTCGAAGTGCTTCTAGAGTCTGAGGAGGACGTTGCAAATTGAGCAATCTCCTACCCATCATATCCCACACGTGCTCAATTGGGGATAAGTCGAGAGATCTTGGTGGCCATGGTAACAATGTGACATCATTATGTTGAAAGAAGTCTATTGTGACTCTTGCAACATGTGGTCGGGCTTTATCTTGTTGGAAAGTGGGATCTGCCAGGGTGTCAAGATAGAGTAAAAGATCTGGTTCTAGAACTTCGTGGATATAACGCTGCGCGTTCATGTTACCTCTGATGAAGATTAAAGGTGACCTGGAACCATAAGCTATAGCACCCCAAACCATAACTCCAACAGTGTGATGAACATGTCTTTCAACAAAAAACTGTGGACTCCTCCTTTCACCACGTCGCCTTCTAACCCTGGCACGACCATCGTGCATGCCTAAACAAAATCGAGACTCGTCACTAAAGACAATACTGTTCCATTCCTGATCCCAGAGTGACCGTTGTCTGCACCACTCAAGGCGATTACGTCGGTGTAAGGGTTAGAAGGCGACGTGGTGAAAGGAGGAATCCACAGTTTTCTGTTGAAAGACATGTTCATCACACTGTTGGAGTTATGGTTTGGGGTACTATAGCTTATGGTTCCAGGTCACCTTTAATCTTCATCAGAGGTAACATGAACGCGCAGCGTTATATCCACGAAGTTCTAGAACCCCATCTTTTACCCTATCTTGACACCCTGGCAGATCCAACTTTCCAACAAGATAATGCCCGACCACAAGTTGCAAGAGTCACAATAGACTTCTTTCAACATAATGATGTCACATTGTTACCATGGCCACCAAGATCTCCCGACTTATCCCCAATTGAGCACATGTGGGATATGATGGGTAGGAGATTGCTCAATTTGCAACGTCCTCCTCAGACTCTAGAAGCACTTCGAGAGGAGTTGGTGGTTGCCTGGAATGAGATACCGCAGGAGGACACTGACCACCTGATCAGAAGCATGCCCAGGCGCGTTGGAGAATGCGTAGCACATCAGGGTGCATCCACACATTATTAAAGGTCAAAGAGCTTTAAAGCAGTGCAATCATTTTGAAATTTTTATCATTTATTTATTATGCTTCATTAAGTACTTATACAAAATTTTATTAAAATAAAACCATTTAAACTGGGTGTTCGGATTTATATGTCACTTAGTATATCTAAAGGCGACTATTTTGAAGGCGGCAACAGTAATGTAGACGAATAAATAAATATTTTCTGAACATACCACGTATATTCTTTATAATACACATGCTTTACTATAGACTACATACAGACATTCATATTTCCATTTTAACTTAAGATCTCGACAGTGAAGGTCCACATTCTGAGGAAACAAACAATAGTATTATATTGTGTTGTTGTGAAAACAGTTGAAGGAGTTAGACAATTTGGATTGGTGCTGTCTATGTTATTACTTACACTAATCTACTATAAATCTGGGATGTTCTCAAATAATTTGAGTGATGTACTGGTGTTTGTTTACCAGTTACGATTGTTAAAAAATGAATAGTTTAACAACAAAATAGGAATATTGTTTATCGGTCAAGTCTATACGCACCATGAAAGAATCAGACGAAAAGTATAAGGATACTCCTTCAAACAGGCGGTGATAAAAGACGTGTGAGACATTAATGAAGGATCTAGCCAAACTGTAAAGGGTGATTAATTGAGAAAACTTCATACAAACATAGGTTCCGTAGTTTTTCCGCTGAAGATAGACTGTTAACGTTAAAAAAAACTTCAGCTTTATATCTATACCACCCATGTCATGCCTCACTAAACTCTTACATAGTACATCTTATCAAAAGGTTTAACAACCAGTCACACAAAACTAAAATAGTTAACAAAGTTTAGGTACTTCAACTCTAACGCAAACATTAGCTTCTGTCACAATCAATTTCAAGTTGAAACATTCCCGGCGTAAATCTCATCTTTAAATCTGGCGGTGTAGGTATCATAACCGTTTGAGGTTTTCGTTTAGGGTTCCTTCCTATTTAATTTCAACTTAATTTCCGTGGATACCTCTGTACCCTCGACACGTGTTCAGTAGCAATAAATGTCAACTATTAATAAAGGATCATGTGTGACCAATGATTTGCTGGATATTTGATCTCAGACTGTCGCGATGGCCTTTGTCGGCTGGGAGGCGATGCGACCGTTCTTCTGAAGATCGAGGATTACAAAAGGAAGATTATTGAACTTCTAGACCCAGAAACTTACAAACCTCTGAAGAAGGATCCAACTCAAGCCCGACTACGCCTTACCAAGCGGCTCATCAAGCTATCATCACTTCCAGAAGACACCAAGAAGAGCGTTACGACTACGGAAGCGGTTCCACCAAGGCTCTACGGCCTGCCCAAGATCAAGAAGGCAGATGTTCCGTTGAGACCAATAGTCAGTGCTCCCGGATCGCCGACGTACTACCACAGCCGACGTCAACTACGAGCCGTGAACAAAGAAATCTGGCAACGTAGGTGGTAGTGTTACTCCCGCCGCTGCTTGCTGCATCGACGCAACTCGTGCTTAAAACGCTAAGAAAACATAACCTTTTCAATTTGTGATTTGGGGATCCCAGAGGCTGTAATTAAGGGATAAGCTTGTTTTCTAAGCTTCAAAGTGTATGTATGTGTTCGAAGTGATCGGTGACTATAATATATGAGAAATAGACTCCAGTTGTAGTGCTTTAAAAATAAACTAAGAAGTGTGACTGTGGCTGTTCGCGCCTCAGGACGCTAAGAATTTCAACTATTGACAACGTGCAAATTAAGGTTGTATTTTTCTTTTTTCATTTATCAAGTATTTGACGCAGACAATATGACTCGTTGTTGCTGTGTTCCTTTATGCAATGCAAACTGTAATTCTGCTTTGAAAACAGAAAGCTATGTTTCAACTTTTCGCTTCCCAAGTACCGAAAGTCTGAAAAACAAATGGCTTATGGCAATTGCCAGAAAAAATTGGACACCTTCAAAATATTCAGCTGTGTGCAGTCGTCATTTTAGAGAATCGGATATCATCAGGACAGAAAATATAGTTTTGGCGGATGGACCAGTCCAAAATAATATACCTTTGAAATATCCAAAATTGAAAGAAAATGCTGTTCCCTACATTTTCCCAAACTTGCCATCATATCTTTCAAAAACTTAAGCACCCAAAAGAACTGACCCAATGCAAACGAAACAAAAATTAATTGAGAAACATGAAAAAGTTATCCGGAATTTCGATGATATGGATAAGATCAAAGACTTTCAAGAATTACATCCTTCATTTTCAAAAATTAAAGCCTCACAGAAATGGAATAATAAATTATCTGATGGAAAGCTATATTTTTATAAATTGGATTTTGAAAATGATATCTTAACTTTGAATACACAGATTATAGTTGATGGTCAGATGGAAGTTCAGGTTGTTCATAAAGGATGTAAGCTTTCTTTTAGTGACTTGAAGTGGGTTTTGCCATATGATCTCAAAATTACCAGATGGTCCCAATTAGAAAACCTGCTAAATAGATATTTTTTCTATTTTTCTGAGAACCAACACAAAAACTCTGTTGAAGTTTACATCATGAATGCATTGGAACAACTTGACACAGCGATTTCCATAATTAATAATGACTCAGTTATGTTTCCATATACAAAAAATCTACAGATTATTGCTGATCAGCTGAGACAAATTCAAAACAGGAAAAACAGATATGCATCACTTTCAATAATAATGGCTTTTACGTTTTATAACCACTCATCATCAACATATAATTGAATTAAAAGATTTTTTATTTTGCCAAGTAAGCGATACTTACAACATATCTCCTCAAGTTCACAAGTAGCACTACCATGCCGTCCGAGCGCGGTGTTGCCTTTCTTTCATCACGGCTCGTAGTTGACGTCGGCTGTGGTACTACTTAGCGAAACACTTGGCATCCCTGCTGCAACCATACGTGGGAAAGAGTACCAGCTACATCAACGATTCCACCGACTTTGTGCGCAAGATTCAGGACATCGTAGTTGAACCCGACGACCTCCTTGTGAGCTTTGATGTCATCTCCCTTTTCACCAAGGTACCGCTGAGGGAATTCCTTGATCTGGTAAGCAGGATCTTCCCTTCTGACATCTGCAAGCTCTTTGAAATCTCACTG